TAACAACCTTCTTGATTATTACTCCCAGGGTTGTGGGTTTGAGCCCTACTTTGGGTAAAAGATTCCTGCATTGCAGGGGGTTGGACTAGATGACCCTAGTGGTCCCTTCCAGCTCTACAATTCTATGATTCAGCGATTCTATGAAATTGTAGTTATAAGAACCTTATTAAAAAGAAAGAAAGAAAGAAAGAAAGAAAGAAAGAAAGAAAGAAAGTCACACACATTTCTCCCAGAGGTATCATTTAAAGATGGATTTTGATTTCTTTCTGAGAATGCAATTTTTTGTGGGGGCTGGAAAGAAAGCTGCCCTTTTTATTCATCTGCTCAGGCAACAAAACAAGTCTGGAAACCTGTGACAAAAGCTAGGTATTCAGACAATTGATGGAAAATTGCAAAAGGCGGAGGCAGATCTTTGTCATTTTCTTTTACTCTCTACCAGTATATACATGGAACTTGTGGGAGTAAGCAAAAACGCAGCCTTGCTCTTGTGCAGCCCATTACCAGGCATGCTTACATGAAAGCAAGAACAGAAATCAGTCCAGTGAATTTGATTGGTATTTCCAGGTGTTGCTTTCAGTCTGCAACTGATGGTGTTTGCTACCTCCCACCCCGACTTGCCTTGTGTTTCCTTACCGTGCAAACAAATGGGATGGAATAATGTACCATATTTTTCTGTGTACAATGGTACCTCTGGATGCGAACGGGATCTGTTCCGGAGCCCCATTCGCATCCTGAAGAGAACACAACCCGCATCTGCGTGTGCGCAGGTCACGATTTGCCGCTTCTGTGCATGTGTGTGACGTCATTTTGAGCGTCTACACATCGTGAGCGGCGAAACCCGGAAGTAACACGTTCTGTTACTTCTGGGTCCCTGCGGAGCGCAACCCGAAAACGCTCAACCTGAAGCAACTTTAACCCGAGGTATGACTGTATAAGACGATGCTTTTTGCTTAAAAAAAATTAGGCAAAAATTGGGTGTTGTCTTATACACAGATAGTGTGATTAATGGCAGCAGCAAGCAGAAGATTGGCAGTGGCGATTGGGTGGGTGATTGGTGGCTGTGGCGAGGCCTGTGGCGATTGGCTGTGGCTGTGGCAATTGGGAAGGTGACTGGTGGCTGCGGCAAGTGGGCGGGTGGGCTGTTGGTGGTGGTGGTGGTGAGCAGGCAGGCGATTGGCAGCTGCGGCGAGGTGTGTGATCGGCAGTGGCTGTGGCAAGCGATTGGCAGGGGCGGACAGGTGGGTGAGTGACTAGCAGAAGTGACCTCCTCCACCCACCAAAAAAGCTAAACAACTTAATTTCTTAATTTTGGGTTTAAAAAAATAGAGGTCGTCTTATACATGGGGGCATCTTATACACAAAAATACGGTAGTGACAACACAACTTCTGTAATTTCACCATAGCAGATGGTGAGACAGGTAGTTCTTGGTGGAAGAAGAACTGCAGCAGAACAGAAACAACGCAACAGATATGGGGCAAAACAGAAAACAATGCCTTCTTACACCCCTGCTCTCAAGTAAATCTGCAAAGTATTCAGCCTACTGATGTAAGGACTTCAAAATGTCCTGATCTTTTAATGGGCCTTAGATCTGTGGTAGGACATCTGCCTGGCTTGCAGAAGCTCACAGAATTAATCCATGGCATCTCTAGCTATCTGGAACCTTGTAGAGCCACTGTCAGCCAGTGTAGACAGTAAATACCAAGCTAGATGGATCACAGATCGGACTAAGTATAAGGCAACTTCCTATGTATACCTAACAGGTTAGTTGGTTCATATCATAACGCAGTGGCAGAGCCCATATTCACATGGAGAAGGCCCCTGGTATCTTTAAGAAAGATCAAGAAGCAGCTGATGGACAAGGCCCTTTAAGGAATCATTGCTCTTCAGAATACTGAGCTGGTTGGTCCCATGGTCCTACTCAGAGTAAGTGAGCATCTTTGACAGAGGAAACTGAAAAGCATTCCAAAAGCAGCCTTGGAGCTGAACAGCATCGTCTCCCTGCCAGCCAACCTAATTACCTTTCGTCTTGCCCATTTTCTGAAAGGGTCCATGCTCAGCTTCAAGTGCAATTCATCATTTTCACCCATCTAATGCTTGAAATGTAACTCAGGAGTGAGTCGGCCCTGGAATGCCTTGCAGGCTTGTTAAATATGCCTTTGTTGGCATTTGTATTTCCGTTTAAAATCTTGGCCTGAAATGCACTCTGGCATTTGATATTATTAAGATTGAACTATTGAGAGGTTGCTCCCAGCTAGAACTAGGCTGCATACCTAGATCGACACCACACAATTCTCCTTAGATAACTCTAGTTTTGGAGAGTGTGTGTGTGTGTGTGTGTGTGTGTGTGTGTGTGTGTGTGTGTACCTGAAGGAGCATCTCCACCCCCATCGTTCAGCCTAGACACTGAGGTCCACCTCCAAGGGCCTTCTGGTGGATCCCTCACTGCGAGAGGTGAGGTTACAGGGAACCAAACAGAGGGCCTTCTCGGTAGCAGCGCCCGCCCTGTGGAACGCCCTCCCAGCAGATGTCAAGGCAATAAACAACTATCTGACTTTTAGAAGACATCTGAAGGCAGCCCTGTTTAGGGAAGTTTTTAATTTTTGATGTTTTATCGCTTTTTTTATTATTAATATTCTGTTGGGAGCCACCCAGAGTGGCTGCGGAAACCCAGCCAGATGAGCAGAGTATAAATAAAATAATAATAATAATAATAATAATAATAATAATAATAATAATGTGTGTGTACCTGCAAGTGGGAGTGAGCAAAAGTGCTAATCCATAATAATAATAATAATAATAATAATAATAATAATAATATTTTATTTATATTCCGCCTTCTGCAGCCAAAGCCGGGCTCAGAGCGGCTAACAACAGTAAAAATAGCACAGTTTACATAAAATCACCGTCAATTAATTGAAATACATTCTAAAATCAATTCAGAATCAAATAAATGGCAACCATTGAGCTAGAGTTTTATGAGGATTACAGAAGGAGGGGGTCAGACTGTGCCTTGGCCAAAGGCCTGGTGGAACAGCTCTGTCTTGCAGGCCCTGTGGAAAGATGTCAAGTTCCTCAGGGCCCTAGTCTCTTGTGACAGAGCGTTCCACCAGACTGGAGCCACAGCCGAAAAAGCCCTGGCTCTGGTTGAGGCCAGCCTAACCTCCCTGAGGCCCGGGAGCTCCAAGATGTTTTTATTTGAAGACTGTAAGGTTCTCCGTGGGACATACCAGGAGAGGCGGTCCCATAGGTACGAGGGTCCTAGGCCGTATAGGGCTTTGAAGGTCAAAACCAGCACCTTAAACCTGATCCTGTACTCCACCGGGAGCCAGTGCAGCTGGTATAGCACCGGGTGAATGTGATCCTGCGGCGAGGACCCCGTAAGGAGTCTCGCCACGGCTTTCTGCACCTGCTGGAGTTTCTGGGTCAGTCTCAAGGGCAGCCCCACGTAGAGTGGGTTACAATAATCCAAACTGGAGGTGACCAATATCCAAAAGAGAAAATATCCAAAATTGATCCAAAAGAGAGAGAAAATAACCAAAATGTACTTCTCAGATTACATATACAAAGTCAATCCATTTATTCATCCAGTTCAGTATCTGTCATGGCGCTGCCAGGCAAGGAATGTCCAGAGTGGGGAATTAACTCTTTATTGCCAGAAACACCCTTTCAAGTTAGGAGAAGGCATGTCCACCAGTCTTACATCTCTTAGCTACTCCTAGGTGTGCACCTGATAAGGCAGTTGCTGCAACAGAGGCTTCAGCTTATGTATCTCCCCCATCTGAACTGCGCACAATCAGGCGAAGACTATGCCTGCATGGAACCTGTTTCTGCTCCTCCCACTTCAGCCCTCTCCTGGTCCAGGGAGACAGTGGAGCAGGAGAGGTGAGGGCAGCAGAAGGTGTCAAAGCCCTTGACTCTACACCTCCTGCACCTCTTCTTCACTTTCCAGTCCTGCAGCTTCTCCTGACTCTTCCTCTTGCCTCCTGGTTCTTACAGGCCCCCCCTTCCGATCGCTGATCCATTCTCCCAAGTCAGTCTCCAGCCCCCCTTCAGCCAATTCCTGACAGTCCCGGCCACACTGACTGGCGACTCTGTATTATTTATCAATAACACGACTCCCTAGATGTTTCGGGCATCTACATAACCTTTTTTTGAAAAAGAAGATTTGCTTTTGCAAGTGTGCTAATGTAAATATTTGCCAAGCCAACAGGCGGTAGGCCTTGTTCTAAATTAAAGATAAAGGTTATGATGAACATGGATCAGGCAACTGAAGGGACTGCGGGTTAACTTTTGCTGGGGAAGATTGCCACCTTGTGGTGAGCTGGGTGCTTATCGGTCTCTGGTCATCCCAAGTCCTGTCTGCTTCTCATACAACTCATAGAATAAAAGAGTTGGGTAATGGGTAAGGAAATAAAAAATGAAGATAAAAAAATATTTCTCTATGCCACCACAGCCGCAAGAATTATGCTGGCACAAAACTGGAAAATAGAAACTATTCCTAACATAAGTGACTGGCAGGTCAAAATGATCAACTATGCCGAGCTAGATAGATTAACAGGCAGAATACGAGACCAAGACGACCAGAAATTTCAAAAAATTGGAGTAAGTTTTGGAAATATATTGGAACGGATATATAGGAGGAGCTGGCGGTATTAGAAAAACTTTATCAGCTAATAACTATAAACGTTAATAAACTAATTACGCAACCCGGGACTTATTTGATACTTACCAAAAGGGTGAAGGGAAGTCAAAGGCTAAGGAGAGCCTAATGGTTATATTATTTTTTGTATGAACGTATGCTTTCTTTTTGTATAGTATGAAAATAGGATGAATAATTTATGTTAAAATGTTTATTTTTGTATTTGTTAGTTCTTTTTTCTTTTCTTTATACAAATTCTGAATAAAAATTTACTTGCATAATGAAAAAAAAAAAAAAGAATAAAAGAGTTGGAAGAGACTTTGAGGATTGTCCAGTCCAAACCCCTGCAATGCAGGAATATGCAACTATCCCTTCTGGGGATCGAACCTGCAACCTTGGCATTATCAGCACCATGCTCTAACCAGCTGAGCTATCCAGGTTGCTAAGGCACAGGTAGTCAATATGGTACCCTTCAGATGCTGCATAACTACAACTCCTGACCATTGTATCCCTGACCATTGGCCACGATCGCTGGTGCTGATGAAGTTGCAGGTCAAAACAGCTGGAAGGCACCATGTAAGGTAAAAGGTAAAGGTAAAGGGACCCCTGACCATTAGGTCCAGTCGTGGCCGACTCTGGGGTTGCGGCACTCATCTCGCTTTATTGGCCGAGGGAGCCGGCGTACAGCTGGTCATGTGGCCAGCATGACTGAGCCGCTTCTGGCGAACCAGAGCAGCGCACGGAAACGCCGTTTACCTTCCCGCCAGAGAATTTTATCTATTTATCTACTTGCACTTTGACGTGCTTTCGAACTGCTAGGTTGGCAGGAGCTGGGACCAAGCAACGGGAGCTCACCCCGTCACGGGGATTCAAACCACTGACCTTCTGATCAGCAAGTCCTACACTCTGTGGTTTAACCCACAGTGCCACCTGCTTCCCACCATGTAAGGTAGAGGGTTAAAATTACTTGTGTGCATCAAATGATGTTGCAATATTATTCTGAGCAAGGATTGGGAAAGAGCTGTAGCTCACTAGCAGAGCATCTGCCCCATATTCAACAAAGTCTCATGTTCAATCTCTGGCAACTCCAGGTTGGGCTGGGAGAGAGAGAAACCTGGATAACCTCTGCCAGTCAAAATAAACATTACTGATCTAGCACAAAAGTGACTTTAAAGGACCAGGCATCCTTATTTTCCCATGCTGCCATCTCTGACTTGATGGGGGATAAATTCAGTTCAAATTCTGCGCTTTCTGCAACAATAGGAGAACAGAAACCCAACCCTTCTTTGAAATTCGCACATATCTGAATTTTGCAATGCACTTCTCCGAACAAACCATGTTTACAAAAAAAATAATGCATATATTTGGGGAAGGTGTGCATGAAAGTTAACAGGTTAGTGAGAATAACGCCCCCTCCAATCCATTATATCTGGGGAAATTGCTTGTAAACATGTGTATACTGCATTAGCAAAACTGAATACGAAATGTCTTTATTAGAAGAAATTCATATTGAAAGGCAGGTGAATTTTCATGGTGATTTATTTATTTTTATGCAATTTGCTGTAGGGTAACTGAATGTAAGATTTCATTCCCCCCTGGGAACATAGGAAACTTTTATACTGAGCCAGAGCATCACCCACTCTAGCTGTGTATTATCTACACCAGGGTTTCCCAAACTTGGGTCTCCAGCTATTGTTGGACTACAATTCCCTTCATCCCTAGCTAGCAGGACAAGTAGTCACGAGTGATGGGAACTGTAGCCCAAAAACAGCTGGAGACCCAAGTTTGGGAAATCCTTTTCTAACACAAGCGTAGCCAACCTGGTGCCTTCCTGAAGTTAAGAGCTAAGTTAAGTTAAGACATTAAGAGCTGTTTGACAGTGGATTGGTCTCTTTTGGGAGGTTGTGGACTCTCCTTCCTTGGAGGTTTTTGAGCAGAGGTTGGATGGCCATCTGTCGTGGATGCTTTCGTCGGCATCCGGGGGTCGAAAGGCCAGCCCATGCTGGATCGTCTCCCTCTCAGCCTTCATCGACCTCTGGCTCCAACGTAAATCAGCTAGCTGACTTGAGCACACTATACATAGGAGAGTAAACTGCACAACAGAAGAGGCTTGAGGTTGTGGATACATACTAAAACTACGGATTTATTTTACATAAATCAGAACAAAGAAACATATCGTCTCTCCTTGCCGTCTTCTCGGAGAGAGGAGGAGTTTGGATTTGATATCCCGCTTTATCACTACCTGAAGGAGTCTCAAAGTGGCTAACATTCTCCTTTCCCTTCCTCCCCCACAACAAGCACTCTGTGAGGTGAGTGGGGCCGAGAGACTTCAGAGAAGAGTGACTGGCCCAAGGTCACCCAGCAGCTGCATGTGGAGGAGCGGAGACATGAACCCGGTTCCCCAGATTAGGAGACTACTGCTCTTAACCACTACATGCCCCACAGAGAAACTTACAGTCTTCAAATAAAAACATCTTGAAGGTCCTAGGCCACAGAGAAGTTAGGCTGGCCTCAACTAGAGCCAGGGCTTTTTCGGCCGTGGCTCTGATCTGGTGGAACACTCTGTCACAAGAGACCAGGGCCCTGCGGGACTTGACATCTTTCCGCAGGGCCTGCAAGACAGAGCTGTTCCACCAGGCCTTTGGCCAGGGCACAGTCTGACTCCCTCCCTCGGCAATCTTCGCGGAGCTCTGGCCCAATGGTTGCCAGTGGCTTGAATTAATTAATTTTATAATGAATGATTTTAGAGTGTTGTTTGTGCTGTACTTTTGTACTGTTTTATTGTTGTTAGCTGCCCTGAGCCCGGCTTCGGCTGGGGAGGGCGGGATATAAATAAAATTTATTATTATTATTATTATTATTACACCACACTGGTGTAGACTCAAAAACAAAAGCAACACACACCGAGCGGAAGTTCTGCTCACGGGACCCAGCAGTCTGTGCTGGAATGTAAACAGACATGCCACACGCAACAATCCCATGTCTGCAACAAAAGGTGGAATGGAATCTCCAACAGCTTTAGCTGAGATTCCTGCATTGCTGGGGGTTGGACTAGATGACTCTCAGGGTCCCTTCCAACTCTACAATTCTGTGATTCTATGGAAAAAGCAGGGTGGGCGATTTCACTCAAATCTTTCCCACTAGCTAATATCCCTGTTTAAAATAAATAAAGTAACGAACCACTTTTTACAAGATGAACCCCAGCCCAGAGGCAGAAATGTTCTGACACAGATGATAAACATAGGAACATAAATGCACTTTGTACCGAGTCAGACACATCGTCCCATGTAGCTTAGTATTGCCTACACTGACCGGCAGAAGCTGTTTAGGGTTTCAGGCAGCAGTTTGTCACGCAGCCCTACCTGGAGATGCTCAGAATTGAACCTGAGGACTTCTGCATGAAAAGCAGGTGCTCTACTGCTCCGCTATGGTCCTTCCCGATACAATCCATGCATCATACAGTAGCCCCAGGAGGATGGTCAAGCAAGGAAATGAAAGTGTGAGCTGGGGATGTGGGGATTGGACCTGCTTCCCATTGACTGGTGACTGGGAGCGGCCGCCGAGACCACATAACACCGATCCTGAAAGACCTACATTGGCTCCCAGTACGTTTCCAAGCACAATTCAAAGTGACCTTTAAAGCCCTAAACATTCTCAACCCAGTATACCTGAAGGAGCGTCTCCATCCCCATCGTTCAGCCCGGACAATGAGGTCCAGCGCCGAGGGCCTTCTGGCGGTTCCCTCACTGCGAGAAGCCAAGTTACAGGGAACCAGGCAGAGGGCCTTCTTGGTAGTGGCGCCTGCCCTGTGGAACACCTTCCCATCGGATGTCAAGGAAATAAGCAACTACAGTGGTACCTTGGGTTACAGACACTTCAGGTTACAGACACTTCAGGTTACAGACTCTGCTAACCCAGAATATAGTACCTTGGGTTAAGAACTTTGCTTCAGGATGAGAACAGAAATCGCACAGCGGCGGCGCAGCAGCCCCATTAGCTAAAGTGGTGCTTCAGGTTAAGAACAGTTTCAGGTTAAGAACGGACCTCCAGAACGAATTAAGTTCTCAACCTGAGGTACCACTGTATCTGACTTTTAGAAGACATCTGAAGGCAACCCTGTTTAGGGAAGCTTTTAATATTTGGTGAATTATTGTATTTTAATATTTTGCTGGAAGCCACCCAGAGTGCCTGGGGAAACCCAGCCAGAGGGGCGGGGTATGTATGTATGTATGTATGTATGTATAAATAAAATTATTACTGCAGTTTGCAAACGGTCTTATGCATGCACACAATTGGTACGCTGCAAATACGGAAGGTATGAGGCATGCACATGATGCTTATCCATGCTTCCATTTACATACTCAGGCGCTGTGTGCATAGGGGACCTTAAAAGCATGGAGGTCAGAAGCAAGGCCAGCATGGATCCTCCCAACTTTCTCAACTGCCCTCTCACATGCTCATTGGTGGGTTCGGTCCCCAGCACAGGGCAAATGCAGTACCCCATCAGGGGCACAAGAGGGCATACTTTGACAGTTTTGGTGCTAGCAATGCCCTCTGCAGGATCCTCACATTTCACGGAGAGATGTTCTGTGCCTTGCAGAGGCAGAAAATCAACAGGTAAAGCTTTCCCCCGTATTGCCTCTCCTTGTTGGGAGGTGCGGGCAGGCGGGGGAAATCCACTGTCTCTTGTGCAGCTGTAAAGGCACAGAGTTTATGGGAAAGGCAGAAATGCTGTTTCCCACAACTGGATGATAGAATAACAAAGTGTCAGGAATCAGCTAAATCCTGAGCAGACAACCTGGATTTACCTGCATTCCTAAGAATAACAATAACAAGTCCTATCAATGACAATAATCATGGTTCAAGTCACATTTATTTACATATGGACCTTTACTGCAAGTATTCCACCCACGACAGGTCCACAACAGATGCAATATAACAACTCAGTTCATTAAGCAAGTCATCAATAACTTAAAAACTTGGCACCTTTGCATCGTTGCTATACATCGCCTTATAATCCTCACGTTGACGCTGTTCGGTAAGTCACTCTTATATTATCCCCATATTACAGATGGGGAGACTGAGGCTCAGGGAACAATGTCTCACCTAGGGCCAGCTGGTGAGATTTGAACAAAAGACCCTCCAGCTCATTCTCTTAGCCAGTTGGGCAGTTTTAGACTCTAGAATTAATGGCCTGACCAGGGGGGGCAGGGCACGGGGGGGCTATTTAAATGGTAATGTATATTACATTACTTTCTGCAAAATGTGGTAAGCCAAATTTTTATATTGGCTTACCACATTTTTATATTGGCTTACCTTGAAATCTGTGTATGGGGGGTAGTATACAAAAAAATAGAATAGAATAGAATAGAATAATAAAATAAAATAAAATAAAATAAAATAAAATAAAATAATAATAAAACAAAACAAAACAAAATAAATATCTGCTGCAACTGGAAGCCCTGACACTCCGTCTGCTGAGTGGGACTCCAGGCGTCTGCCTTTCATGTCCTTTCATGCCAGTTCCTCTGCTCTTAGCCCAATGCACAATATTGGCTCTTAAAGATCTTAGGCTGACAAGCAGGTAACCAATGAACCAACTCAAGGATGCTGCTCTTTCTTCCCCTTTGTGCATTTCCCCGCAAATAAATGCCATGCAGCTTACCTTTGCATCCTGGTCCTGTCCACCTAACCCTGGAGGCAGCGTTTAAAATCCAGCAGTTGCCTTTTCCCTCCGCAGTCTTGGAAGTGGAGCGTTAACTCAGCTCCTCAGCGCCACAAATCATCCAACTGCTCCCCCCCCCCTTCCCTTGCTCTTAAAAGAGTTGCTGCTGCCTCTGGCTTGTAAGGGGTGGAGTTTCTTGACAGATATGCGACGCTCAGAGATGCATTTGCAAGCAGCCTTCTTCCTGTGATGATCACCTTCAAGTCAGTGGGGGATTAATTTATTTATCAACCTGATCTTGCTTTACCGGAGCTATGTAGGTCACAGAGCAGCTATGTGGGGTTTTCCTGCTCACCCACTCACCCCCATTTCGTTTAACAGGGTAATTATAATTACCCAGAAGAAAGTGAATCTGTTTAAAGAGTAGTCTTAAAATGATGTGTTTCTGTAATACTTTCCCATCTGTGTATGAGAAACCCTAGCCTTACAAGACAGTCTTATTCATGGCCTGAAACCACTGTCACCACATCTCTAGACCTCAATATCCTGAATACTGTAATACAGTATATTAAGGTCTGTACGTGCTTGTTACTAGCAGAGAGCCGTAGCTCAGAGGAATACCCCTTCCTTTGCATGCAGAAGGTCCCTGGTACAATCTCCAACATCTCCACAAATGGCTAAGAGAGACCCCTTTCTAGGTTTGGGCAGTCAATTTCAGCTCACTTTCTCATTTTCTCATTTCCCCGACCTTAGGTTCAGTTCTACATCTTTCCACATCCATTTGTGATTGTGTGTGTGTTTTCTTAAAGCATCCTTATGAAAATTTATCAGCATTTTAGTGCAAATGTCTCCCGAGTTTCAAGTCACAAACTGTTTCGCAAAGTGTGAAGTAGGTATAAAGGTAAAGGGACCCCTGACCATTAGGTCCAGTCATGGCCGACTCTGGGGTTGTGGTGCTCATCTCGCTTTACTGGCCGAGGGAGCCGGCGTACAGCTTCCGGGTCATGTGGCCAGCATGACTAAGCCGCTTCTGGCAAACCAGAGCAGCGCACAGAAACACCGTTTACCTTCCCGCCGGAATGGTACCTATTTATCTACTTGCACTTTGACGTGTTTTTGAACTGCTAGGTTGGCAGGAGCAGGGACCGAGCAATGGGAGCTCACCCCGTCGCGAGGATTCGAACCGCCGACCTTCTGATCGGCAAGTCCTAGGCTCTGTGGTTTAACCCACAGCCTTTAAATTGTGATCGGAATTGAATCCCTCCAGCCTTCCGTCTGTCTGTCTGAAACCAGACAATGTAGACAATTCTGAGATAGATGAACCAATGCTCTGACAAAGGTGTGAGACAGCTTCCCGTGTTCCTATTGTTGCCTGTGTCCTTACCATTTCTGTATACAGAGAAACTGTGGGAACCATTCTACCCAATTTCTCCAGGGGGAGGAGAAAATTGTCAACAGTTTCTTAAGGATGGGTCTCGCAATTAGCAGCGGCAATGGCACAGCTTCCTTCAACACCCCCCCCAGGCTACCCCACACCAAGCAGCAGCAAAACTGAGTTTACAGACTCACCACAATTTGGAGTCCTTTACAATGCCAGAGACCTGGTATATATTTTAGGACGTGCTGAGAGGTAAGGAGGTTTATGGCCACCACAAATAAATTGTGGAGAATATTCAGATGGAATTCTGTGAAGTAGCCTTCTTTTAGCAGACAGTGGGGGGATTGCTAAGAAAACAAAATCTCTCATAAATTTTCTCCCCCCTCCCCCAAAAAATGTCTTTGGAGAAATATTGGCTCAGCTCCATTGTGAGGCAATTGCTACATAAGATCAACAAGCCAAAAGCCCATTATCTGGTTCTTACAGTGCCCAAGATGATGCCTGTGGGAAGCCTACAAGCAAGACATGAATATATTAGGCCTCAGTTGTTATTCTCACACTGCTTCCAAGAGTGGAGGTAGAACATAACCATACTGGCTAGGAGCCATACTGGCCAAATCATCCATGTATTTAATCATCTTTTAAAGCTGTTGATGTGGATGGCCATCACTATCTCTTGTGGGAGCGAATTCCACAGTTTAATGAAGCCCTGTGTGAATAAGTACTTTATTTTGTTCATTCTGAAGCCTCCAAAATTCATTGGATGGCCCTGAGTTTTTGTATTGTGAGTGGGGAAGAAAACCATTTCCCTATCCTGCTTCTCTACACCGCGCCTCATTTTATCAGTGCTTTGAATGAACTAGTTCAGTTGAACAAAATTTACTGAACTAGTTCAAAAACCTCTGAACGACACCAGAAAGTTGTTCCTATAATAGCTGAATACACTAAAGGCGAATGAAGTTCACTTTGAGGAAGAAGCTTGAACAATTGCTAGTTCATCTTCATGTCCATTCTCACACAACCAGCCAGCCAGCAGGAGGCCTGAACTCTTAGCCTTCAATTAAAAGAAGGAAGTGAATTGGACATCTATCAATCAAGTTAGAAAGCAAAATGTGGAGGCAACATTCTAAGGCTTATTAGGCACTTATGGAGGCACCGCCATTGCTAAGGTCACTTAATCACTTTTGCTAAACGATTAGAAGGAAGGAATGTGAGGCATTTCCTGTATTTTCCCTGCTGAAGGGATTAACTGTCTTTCAACAGGAGCAGCTTGCCATGAGAACTATATGTACAAGAAAAAGCAAGAGATGTCTCATGCCTTTAGCAGCTATGTGGCTGGCACAAAGTAAGTATTTTCTAGTATGGAAATTCAATTTTGGGAATGCTTTACCTATCATAGAATCGTAGAGTCATCTAGGGTCATCTAGGGTCCATCCCCCTGCAATGCAGGAATTTTTTGATATTCTGCCTGCCGGACATATTACTGGACTGTCTTGAATCTCCCCCTGTCCAGCCCTTTACAAACATTTCCAGGGGCCCTGCTTCCTATACCCCCCTTTTCAAAGAAAAAACTGTGCAAATAGAATCAGTTCTTTTGTTTAATTCTAGGCCACTTTATTAACATCGATGACTGTGACAGGCTCAGGTGGGATGGCTGCAATGGATGAGCCTATAACTGAATAGCAAAGGGAAACAACAACATTCAGCAGCATTTGATAGAGAGAACTGCCAGTGCACTTAGACAGCCAAGCCAAATCTTGCATTCGTCGCATGCGACTGAAAAAGGGGGAAATTCTAAAGAGGAGGGAAGGGAGAGGCGATAGAACGGAGATACATAAACATCAGGGAGCTGCTTGCACTCTTTCTCTGCTGCCTAGAGTCTGCTGCTGTTTCGTGATTAGTTTCTCCTACTTCTGTAATCCAGTAAAATCTTCTTGAAAATGAAATACAGCAAAATGGCAAAGCAGAATACGTCGTGTTTCATAATAAAATAGAAAGCCAGCTCCCTGGCTGTGTAAATAATGTGGATAAAGATGAAGCAGAAAAAAAATAGGGCATACTGGTTCTGGGGCTGAAGGAGTTCGTGGAGCTCTTGCCCAATCTGTGGGGGAGGGGGGAGAGAAACAGGGGTGGGGGGAGGAAAAAGAGGTGTCTGTTAATAAAACGCTCCCTATGATCAGCTACCCAAAGAGCCTACCATACTATAAACACCTTCCCATTGAACCCAGAGGGCTTCGCATCTTCATAGACATTGTAAATGTGCTCAACTTAAATTCCATTGATTTATATTGGGAGTGGGGGAAACAAGGCCCTCCAGATGTTATTGGATTGATGGGGCCTGGAGTCCCACAACTGCTGGAGAGCTACGGGTTCTCCATCCTTGATTTATATAGACTTAAGCATGTTTGAAATATTTAGATTGTGCATTCAAAATACCGATTCGGAGAAATGTCAAACTGCAGAAGTCAGGCAAGCCCACAACATGGCAACTAATGTGTTTTCTTTCTTTTTCTTCCTGGAGATTTTTCCCTCCTGGAGCAAAAGGACCATGCCCCCTTTGCCCCAATGTCATTTGAATGAAGCATCCAATGGGCAGTGCTTGCCTTGGGGTTTCCTATATTCTTATTGCATCAACTGTTCTGGGTGAGGACAGCAAAAACGTCTTCTTTAGACACAGCAGCAGAAGCCAAATGTGTGTTTTGGAAGCATGTTGCCAACCTGGTGCCCTCCAGATCTCCCATCAGCCTCAGCTATGAAGCAGGGGCAGTGAGAGGTGTAGCCAGGGAGAGGGCATGGCTGGGAGAAATCCTCAAGGGCCTGATAGTGGAAGCTGGTATCCATTGGATCTGGTGGGGCAGAAGATAGCTAATGGGAGACAAAGCCAAAGGGTCAGTAGAGGCAGAGCTGGGGGTGGAGGAGAATTCAATTTAGCTTGTATTTAAGGTTGAATCTGTGAGAATTTCTCTTTCTGGAGCAAGATGAGAGCTGAAACACAGCCAGCCTTCCAAAGTCGCTCTTATCCGAAATTTGCAATGCAGTTTTCCAACCAAACCACATTTGCAAAAAATGCATACATTAGTGGAAAGTGTGCAAAAAACCCCCACGAACGTTATTTGTGAAAATAACATACAAAAATGCATTACATTAGGATTGTATTGCTTGCAGAAATGTTGGCCGTGGTCCAAACTGCATACAAAAATGTGTTTACTGGGAGAAAAGGGCACTCAAATGCTGGAGAATTTTCATGAGGGTTTAAAAAAAAAATGAAAAATTGCAAATTGCCACAGGCATGTGGAGAACTGGCTTTAAGGTTGGAAAAATGAGACTGTGAGAATAGAAATTAACAGATCCTTCCATCCCTAGCAGGAACTAAGCAGCTGAGAGTTTTTACAGATCGATTCCAGCACCTAGAACAGGGGTCAGCAACCTAAGGCCCATGGGCTGGAAGCAGCCCGCGGAGGTCATTTGACTGGCCCGCTCATGCGCTGCGCTAAACCTGTGCAGCACGGCACAGGGACGCGCTTCCACAGTGCCGGAAATCACATCTGCGCATGCGCAGATGCTGAAAGTCGCATCTGTGCAGATGTAGACACCGAAAATCACACGCAAAAAAATGGAAGCAAGAAGAATTACCAGCGATAGAAGAATGGCAGCTGAAATTGATGGACTATGCAGAATTGGATAAATTAACTGGAAGGATTCAAAACCTGCGGGATCAGAGATTCTTAGAAGACTGGAGTAAATATATGTAAATATATGTACTATTTGAAAAGTAATAGTAATGAACAGATTACGCTAGTAGGATTGCAAGAAGTTTTGTAAGGAGAATTATATGAAATATTACAAGAAAGACTATGAGAAGAGTTATTAGTTGATGACAGTTAAGAGTAATAGATATATTAAGAAATGCAGAATAAGTGATAAAAGACGGAAAATCATCAGAGTTGTTGACGGAAGTCTAAAACAATGTATAAGATAAGAAGATATATAATGCGATTGTTGGAAATGATATGTTAAAAAACTAATAAAAAAGAAAGAAAAGAAAATCACACGCTCATGCATGTGAGATCCGGCTCACGGAGGGATCTCTGCGGGACTGATCTGGCCCAGGATCTTGCTGACCCCTGACCTAGAACAATGCCCAAAGATGCTGTAGGCCAAGGAATGCAGAATTTGGTTTCCATTTTTAATGGAATGCTCACATCTACCCCTTCTTCCCCCCTCACTTACTGATCGAGGGGTTGTCTGATGATGTAGCTGTTGCATTTTCTCCTCGTGCTGCCGCCTCTTCTCATTGTCTTCATGCCGGTACCTCAGTCTGGTCATTGCACCATCAAGTCTCATCTTCTCCAGGTCGAGATCAGCTGCTGTGATCTGCCTGCTGTGCAACTGACCCATCCGCTCCATGCTGCTGGCTTCGCCTATCCTGGAGTAGGCTTCTGGCTGCAGAGCACTGGTCCCTCGCTGGGTGCTGATGGCCAGCCGGTCTCCCTGACTCTTATTGTCTAAGGTCTCCGTCATGTCATCAGGGACGTACGAAGAGGCTGGCGTGTCCCTTGCAGCGTCCTGTAATAGGAAAGGAGGGGCGGGGGGAAGTATCAGTGGCTACTAGCCAGGCCAGCTATGCTCCATTCCGCCCGCCCCCGCCCCCCATTTTTAAATGCTTTATTGATTGAAAACTTTAGAACAGAAATGTACAATAGATGTTATAGGCATAATGAGAAACAAAAAATACACAATTATTCATTCTTTAACTTGCTTTGTACATCCATTTGTGATTAAATTTGACAAGCCCTCCGATCTTCCCTTGCATTCCCAAATTAAATTCCTTAAATACACGCTTAAACTTTACTTTATCCATGTTATTTAACTTACTATAAATTTTATTTTGTAAAATTATCCTATTTACACACCAAAGCTCAATCAAAACCTGCCAATGGATTGATCTTTTGACAATGTTATTTTGACACCTAATAAGAATCTGATGCAATGCAAAAAAGCATAATAATTTTAAAATAAGCCACTGATATCAAATGAAGCAACATTCAACGATTCATTAGAATCTAATAGTAAACAGTAAAATTAAGTATCAGCAAAGAATAATTAAACACTTTACACTTATTGATTAGAATAAAGAATTACCATATTTTTCCATGTATTGGATGAGGGTTTTTTATTTTTAAAAAATGCAAAAAATTGGTGGTCGTCTTATACACGGATAGTGCAGAGTTGGGATGGGCGATTGGTGTCTGCTGCGAGCAAGATATTGTCAGGGGCATTGGAGCGGGTGATTGGTGGCTGCAGCAATTGGGCAGGTGATTGGCAGCTGTTGGGGGCGAGCAGGCAGACTTCTCAGCTTCATTGATGCGGCGGTCAGGCGCTCAACAAAAAAGCTCAACAAGTCTTGGCAATCCCCCCGAGAAAAAGCTGAAGAACTCTGGGCAATCCCCCCCCCAAAAAAAGCTCAACAACACTGGTGGGCAATCTCCCCCCATTTCCTCAATTTGGAGTCCCAAAAAATAGGGGTCATGTTATACACAGGGGCGTGTTAAACACGGAAAAATACAGTACTAAACTACAATCCACAAATATAACGGCAAGTCGCAGTGCATAAAATACCACAAAACCATGTGAAAGGGGTCAATGGAGAAGCAATTTGGCCACTGTGAGAGCAGGATGGTGGACTAGATAAGTCATGGGCTTGTTCCAGAATTTGATGGAGGCATTTGATTGGCTGTTATGGGAAACGCTGGTGCTAGAGTGGCTGGTCCTTCAGCTGGGCTCTTCTTAAACTCCTGAGAGATATCAGCCTCAGCACTGGCACCTACCGTACTATAGATACTATGCTCTATCATTATCTGTCTTGGAGACATCCATGGTATCCACCATATGGTAGACACATGCTGTGGGGCTGAATGTGAAGTGTGGATGCAAAAGAACCTAAGAAGAGCCCTGCTGAGGGTCCGTCTACTCCAGCACCGGCGTTTCCCTTAGTGGCCAATCAAATGCCTCCATGAAGTCTATAAGCAACAGCCCTTACTAGAAGCTGGAGCAAGGAGTTGTCCAGGGATGGCTAGTTCTATCAGCATTTTAAGGTTATTTTTAAAGCTTTTCTTATTCCACCAGCCATTTGGAAGTTTGTGAGGTTGGACTGGGTTAAATAAATTTCCAGCTGCTTCTGCTGTTTCTGTTGTGATTTCATGAGTGGTTTGAAACAGATCTCTGCTTGAGTATAAGGGATCAGATGGCCCTTAAGGTACCTTGGTCCTATTATTATTATTATTATTATTATTATTATTATTATTATTTCTCCCATCTGATGATGATGATGATGATGATGATGATGCCTCCCATCTGACTGGGTTACCCTATCCACTCTAGGCAGTTTCCAACAAATTAAAACACAGCGAGACATCAAACATTAAAAACTTCCCTATACAGGGCTGCCTTCAGATGTCTTCCAAAAGTCAGACAGCTGTTTATTTCCTTGACATCTGATGGTGCTCTAGGGCTTTGCGAATTAACACAGGAACCTTGAAGCTTTCCTGGCGGCAAATTGGCAACCAGCACAGCTCTCTCTCTGCAGCAGAAATCACATTGCCAATAATCTGCTCCCATGAGGATCGTGACCACTGCATTCTGTACTAGTTGCAGCTTCCAAATGAAATATAAGGGCAGCTCCACACAGAGTGTGTTCCAGTAATCAAATGTTATAAGAAGGGACCTTACGTGAGTCCTGTTGAACAGATACTTCTCTATGTAAAGAAAAGGACCCTGAATGGCCCAGGAACCCCATTTGCAAGGAGAAACATTAGGCATGTACGGCTCTCTTCTCACACTTGCTGAATGCGCAGTTGGGTCAAGGCTGTTTCCCCCTACATGCCTCACAGACCTCCTGCCCTCATTGGTTGCAGATGTAGCATCATGAGAAAAGGTGACCGCTGGATCTGTGTAATCGACAGCTCCCATCAAAAGGATGGGAGTTCAACTGGATTCCCAGAGCCAAGGAATCCCTGCCCCACATCCGCTGCCACTTACCATCCTCTCCTGATGCTTTTTCAAATCTTTAATTGGGGTTATCTGCACAGCAAATTCAATCTCGGTTTGCATCTCCTTGAACCCTACACTGCCTCCTTGGTAAGAATATTCAGACCCTTCCACATTGCTGGTGTGATCCAGATCTGCTTGAATCTCCTTGTCTGTTTGGTGCACAGACTCCGTCTCAAAGTTGGAGAAATCTGATGAGGAATGGGGTTCTCTGGATACTTCCTGTTATAAAACAGATGGGGATTTAGGGCAGTTTACGTTTGCTTGTTTTTTCCCATAATTTTGATTAAATTTTCTGTTTTACATTTTGGAAAATTCATTTAAACAACCTTAAAATATCAATGACTTCCCTTCTTCTCTTTCCATGGTTCATTTTGCATAACATAAATCCACGCATATTTTATATAAACCAAACCATTCAGTATTCCATTATTACATCCATCAAAACTTATTTACACTGTTGAATTTATCTTAATGCTGCCCACATTTTCAAATAAACACAAGTTCCTTCCATATATTAAATAAACATTTTCCAATCTTCTTTAAACATATGTTCTTCTTGTTCTCTTATTCTGTGTTAGGCCTGCAAGGTGAGCATGTTCCATCAGTTTAAGTGGCCATTCTTCTTTAGTTAGGACATCACTCGTTTCCCATTTGGGGGCTTACAAAACACGAGCTGCAGTAGTGGCATACATAAATAAACTTTTAAAGCAGGTGTGTGTGTGTCCCCGCACGCAAAGACAACTGATTTTTATTTGTTTTGCCCATTACAATGCACAAAACAACAACAACAACAACAACGATGATGAATGTCCATTTCTAATACAAAACCACACAAAGTCAAGCAGATGCAATCAAAACCAGCAACAAAAATGAAAAGGGGAGAAAGGGAGAAGGAAGAACAGGGAATATGTTCCAGCAAGTTAAACGATATTTCAGGAGGAGAAAAGGCATAGGGTCACCCCATTGCTACCTGCCTGATTCAGAGCTTGCCACTCAGCTCTTCCACAACACCATCTTTTCCCCAATATTGATACAGGGGTTACACTATAAAGTGAGTTTCTCAGGTGAGTCAGGATCAAATGGGTGTTTCACAGTCAGCCTCCTCCAAACCTCCCTGACTGCTACTGTTGATGGCGGGGACTCGGGGAGCGAGCCCCCTGAATATGCTTTGAACCCAGCACAAAAAACCCAGTGACAATTTGTTGTTGACAAAGGACAGCTGGACATGTAAAGGGCCCCCATTACCTTCTGTAGCTGAGGGCCTCGTCAAACCTAAATCCGGCCCTGATTTCAGTGAGAGAGTTAAGGAGGCACCTAATTCTCTCACTCATTGACTGACATAGCTATAGCTCTCTCTATCACTTAAAAGGTATTGACTTGGGAACGTCTCCACCCCCATCGTTCAGCCCAGACACTGAGGTCCAGCTCTGAGGGCCTTCTAACTGCGAGAAGTGAAGTTACATGGAACCAGGCAGAGGGCCTTCTTGGTAGTGGCGCCTTCTCTGTGGAACGCCCTTTCATCAGATGTCAAGGAAATAAAGAAATACACAACTTTTAGAAGACATTTTGAGGCAGCCCTGTAACCGAAAGCTTTTTTATGTTTGAGGTTTGCTGTGTTTTTATTATGCTGGAAGCTGCCCAGAGTGGCTGGGACAACCCAGTCAGATGGGCAGGGTATAAATAATAAAATTTAGTAGTAGTAGTAGTAGTATTACTAGATCATGCCCTAAGTTCCTTCTCACCTGCCTTTTGCCCATCTCAGGTTTGCAGATAAACATGATATTAGGAGTGGGCTGCATTTTCCCCATTAAGGGCCACATCCCCTAAGGATAAATCTGTCAGGAGTCATATGAGGAGAATGGATGCAGCCTTGTCTTGTCCTCTCTGCCCAGAGGGCTGATGGGAGATGAGCAGATTGCTCCTTTCAGAGGTGTGAATGGATCCCTTGCAAAGCAGGGAGAGGCCTGCATCTTGCCCCCGCCCCCTTTGTTGTTGTTGTTATTTAGTCGTTTAGTCATGTTCGACTCTTCATGACCCCATGGACCAGAGCACGCCAGGAACTTCTGTCTTCCACTGCCTCCTGCAGTTTGGTCAAACTCATGCTGGTAGCTTCGAGAACACTGTCCAACCATCTCGTCCTCTGTCGTCCCCTTCTCCTTGTGCCCTCCATCTTTCCCAACATCAGGGTCTTTTCCAGGGAGTCTTCTCTTCTCATGAGGTGGCCAAAGTATTGGAGCCTCAGCTTCGTGATCTGTCCTTCCAGTGAGCACTCAGGGCTGATTTCCTTGAGAATGGATGGGTTTGATCTTCTTGCAGTCATGGGACTCTCAAGAGTCTCCTCCAGCACTATAATTCAAAAGCATCAATTCTTCGGCGATCAGCCTTCTTTATGGTCCAGCTCTCACTTCCATACAACAGTGCTATTTTTCTAGAAAAAGAGTTGCCAGAACCTACCGTGAACACCTCCCTTGCTATGGCACCCACCTGAGTTCTGACTGAAAATAAGCCCTCCTCCTTAGCATTACCTCCAAGATTTAGGCTCCACAAATACAATGTTTAAATACATGCTTCCCCCCAAAGAATCCCGAGAACTGTAATTCCTTAAAGGTGCTGGGAGATGTAGCTCTGTGAGGGGGGAAACTACAGTTCCCAAGATTCTTTGTGGTGGGGACCTTATGGCCTTAGAAACACTAGGGCAGATGTGGGGGACCTTTGGCCCTCCAGATGTTGTTGAACTACAGCTCCCATCAGCCCCGACCAAGCATGACCAAGGGATGATGGGAGTTGTAGTTCAACAGCATCTGGAGGGCCAAAGGTTCCTCACACGATCTTTCCCCATCCTGAAACAGAAAGAACTTACTGGGATTTCTTACCATAGCAGATTTTGTACTGGGAAGGGAACATACATCAACATTGGATGCCAAGGCAGAAGCCTCTATTTCCCCACCTGCCCCATGTAGAAGAACCGAAACCGGCTGCCCCAGTTTGAAGCAGACACACACTGCTCAAACACCAGCCACAAGCTCTTTCCTGAACTGCCACAGTGATGTCAGAAAGTTCCGCACTGGGATGATGTCATAATTTTCCAGTTACCACAACAGTTAAGACAAGTGTTGCTAAGAGGCCTTTGTGGATTGTCTGTAGGCCTGCTATATATTTTATTTGGAAACAGTACTGGTAACATCATATGTGGCCATATCAATAGATGACCCAAGAAGGGTGTATTCTGCTCCTCCTCCCACAGCACACACTGTAATCACAATATTTGTTTATTGATCTTATTGGACACTTTTAAAAAATGAAAAGTAACTCAAAGCGACTTACAGGAAAACCCCCACATACATTAAAACTAACACAAAACTAAAACAGGGTGAACGCCCCAATGTTTTATTCAAGTTGGCATCCTTGGAGAGGAGTGAGGCAGCTGCCATAGGTGAAAGTTGCTGGGGGGCAGGGAGAGTCAGCAAGGGGTCAGTGGCCCCCGTTATAGATGCCACCTGGAGTGCCCTGTGCCCCCTAAGTGAGCCTGCTACCCTCAGGTGCAGCGAAGGCCACTGCTCTGGTGTTGATTCAGTTGCCAGTCTTGTTGGCTTCTGAACATGGAATTGGCAGCGTCATCTTCTAGGCCACCTCAGCCAGGTAAATGTCCTGGGTTAGACCTTATTCTGATGATCACCTGAATGCTGCCCCACCTGTGCAGGTGGGGTGGGAAGGTTGGCATTGCTTATTCCGCCACTCCTCCCCTTCAATTTGCTCACTGTTTTTCTTTCCAACATATCTTCTCAGTATCTGCAGCAGCACACCTTCCAAAGCCACTATCGTGGAATCTCACAGAGAGGAGAACACTGTCTTTCATTTCCTTATTTGCTGACGTTTTATTTCCCTTCCTTTCCCCCCCGGTAGAAAACTGCACTTCATTGCAAAATAATACTCAGGGTGCCTAGTTATGGAAAGGTTTCGTGCTTCTGTGGATACACGCCTAATTGAAAACACATTTTTAAATAACGCTCTGCAACCATTAATATTCCACTGAATTTATATACTGTGTTAATTGTAACATATTACATTACCTCTGTTGCCAAAATTCAACACTAATCTGGTTTGAAAACAGCTACGAGAAGTGGGAGTGAGGACCTTGGAACTGACCATCAACAGTGGACACAGACTGAGCAGAAATACAGGTCTTTACCACTATACTGAGGTGGGTTGTATTTCAATTTAAATTAAAGTGATTGTTTCTAAATCGGCATCTGCTTGTTTATTTAGTATATTGCACTCTTCCTTCCAAAGGACCTCAGGATGGCAACCATTGAGTGAGAAGAACAATTTTTTAAAAATCATAAAAACAATTCCAATGCAGGTGAAGACTAGAAAAGATATCAACTTCACAGACTTGATGAAAGATGAAGGTCCTCAGTAGATCTACAAAATGCAAATTTTATGCAAATATGTGACCCCTTTATCTTCTCTCTCTCTCTCTCTGGTGTGTGACTGACCACACTGACTTTGTGGTCACTGTTCAGCCTATTCCACATGAGAGCTATACCATGGCAGTTATGAATGAAACTTTGCTGCAGTAGCTAGGAATGGAACACCCATGTTCAGAGGCAGTTTATACTTCTGATTAACAGATGCTGGACGCAAGCAAAAAAAGGAGTAGCTTCCTTCAACGAGGATCTTTCCAGCATCATGATCTGGTGGCTGCCCACTGCAGATAGATAGATTTTCCAGCTGACCAGAAATAAAAGTAGCAGGGCAGGGGATACACTCAGAGAGTTTGGATTTGATATCCCGCCTTTCACTCCCTTTAAGGAGTCTCAAAGCGGCTAACATTCTCCTTTCCCTTCCTCCCCCACAACAAACACTCTGTGAGGTGTGTGAGGCTGAGAGACTTCAGAGAAGTGTGACTAGCCCAAGGTCACCCAGCAGCTGCATGTGGAGGAGCAGGGACGCGAACCCGGTTCACCAGATTACGAGTCTGCAGCTCTTAACCACTATACCACACTGGCTCTCCCGTGCAGAGACAAAGAGAAGGCTGACCTTGTAAAGAAAAAGAAGGATCTTTTTATCACATGTGGTGGGAATGTATGAAAGGGAAAAGCTCCTGGGAAATGATATATGAGATGAAAAAGATGTTGAAATATACATTTATAACAAAAACCAGAAGCATTTCTACTTGGCATTGTAGGGGAGGATATTAACAATAATAAACTGCTTTTATATGCAACAACGGCAACAAGAGTATTATTGGCACAGAAATGGAAACAAGAAGAACTACCGACGAAAGAAGAATGGCAGACGAAATTAATGGACTATGCAGAATTAGATAAAATGACAGGAAGGATTCGAAACCTGCGGGATCAGAGATTCGCAGAGGACTGGAGTAAATATGTGAATTATTTGAAAAGCAATTGTAATCAACAGATTACGCTAGTAGGATTGCAAGAAGTTTTGTAAGGAGGATTATGTGAAATATTGCAGAGAAAAGTTTGAAGAGAATTATTAGTATTGGACTATTAAAAGTAATAGTGAAACTAATGAAATGCAGATTAAGTGATAAAGACTATAAAATCTTCAGATGTGGTTCTTAACCTGAAGCACATGGTTAATGGGGCGTCCTGCCGCTGCCGCCGCGCCGCTGCTGTGTGATTTTTGTTCTCATCCTGAAGCAAAGTTCTTAACTTGAGGTACTATTTCTGGGTTAGCGGAGTCTGTAACCTGAAGCATCTGTAACATGAAGCATCTGTAACCCAAGGTACCAGTGTGTGTGTGTGTGTGTGTGTGTGTGTGTGTATGAATATGAGAAGTCTGACCTACAAATGCTGCAAGTGAAGCTTCTCAAGCAGAGAAGAATGGTAACTTGTGAGCGTTTGCTGATCACACTGCTCTTAAAAAGGCACAGGTTGAAGTGCTAGAAGACAAGAGGGCAACCCTAGACTAACTTGGCGAAGTGTTCTGAGCTTGCATGGCTGCTTACATCTTCTCAAAGATGTTGAAAAGGTCACCTCGCTTTGCATCAGGTTTCCAACAGAGGGTCTCAAGATCCGCTAAAGAACTTAGGTTTGCTGCTTCATGTGGAATGAGACCATTGGTCTCCTCTAGCCCAGCAGACTTGAGACGGACAGCAGCTCCCCGGGGTCTCACGAAGGGATTTCCTCCATGGCCTTTTAAGCAAGAGATGCACTAGGGATTCAGCCTGGGGGCTTTTATGGGTCTGGGAGAGAAAATCAATTGAGTTCTCATTCAAAGACGAATCAACCCAATTCACACTTCTTGAAACAAAACCTGAACCAAAACAAACCCTTCCAAATGCTCATGTCTCTGAGTTTTGCAGTTTGGTTCTACAGTCAAATAATGTGTGCAAAACCACATGTGCTAGGACAAAGTGTACATCAAAATGCACATATTAGGGAAAATATACAACAAAATATTATATTAAGGGAAATTGCTTGCAAAAAATGTGTACAGGGAAGCCTGCTTGGTATCATCACTATTTCTTTTCAAGTGCTGAGCAAAAATAGACCCATATAGACCCATATCTTTAGATCTTAATTTTCTGGTTATTTTTTAGCAGGCTTGGATGTGTGTGTGTGTGTGTGTGTGTGTGTGTAAGTTGCTTTCCGTTTCACTTTTGAGAGGTGAACATAATAATTATAATGCACACAAAATTGCATATTGTGTGCATTTCACCCTCAAATGCCAACAAATTTTCACAAGAGCTTTTTTTTTATTTATAGAATTTGCAAACTGACATGGAAATGTGGAATTTACAAATTATTATATGTGTTAATGCGAATTGAAGTTAATTATTGTAGCTGTGGTATAAGGGAATTTATCAAGAATGGGTTGTATTTGGTTTGCGCAACAGTCTGGAGGCAGAATTAAAGGGAATAAGTCTTTGAAGTACAGCACGTGGGAAGCCACCCAAAATTTATAATTGGCTATGCAACTGATTTGTATTTGAGTTGGTATTGCTATTTGGTGGTAATATAATATGGTGCATATTGGATTTTTGTAATTGAAAATTAATTTTAAAATATGTAATAATAAAAAAAAGGAAATGTAGAGAACAGGCCCTGAGACTGGGGAAAAAGTGAGAAACTGAAACGGAAATTGACCAGATTTGCCCACATGCTCTACTAATGAGCAGCTCAAGGAACCCTGGGCCAAATTGTTAGCAGCTGAATGTGTTTCTTGCCGGAGTCGCTTGGGAGGGCGAGGAGGAAGCCGAGTGCGGAATCTCGTGACATCATCACGGCAGTTGGCCTGGAATGTGGATTTGCATGGCCTGGTTTTGCAAAGTGGGGCAGCTGGTGTCCGATTGAGGGGGAAATTATATCTCTGCATGTGCCGTGGTTAAGATTCTTGTCTCCCTGGACCCAGTTTCGCCATGGTAAGATCCGTCACTCTCATTCCTTTTTCTTTTCTTTTTCTTTCATTTATATCTCACCTTCCTTCCCAAGCATCATACAGTTATTTTTGTCTCCCTCCTGCATTTTATTCTCACAACAACCCTGTGTAGTAGGCTAGGCTGAGAACTAGGGGCGATTTGAACCTGGGTCTCTCGCTCGCAAAGTGAGCCTAACAGGCCAGTCACTTTCTGTCAGCTTAACCTATGCCACAGAGTTGCTGAGAGGATATATATATATATATATATATATATATATATATATGAATGATGGGGAACAATGAATACCACCTTAAGCTTTGTGGAGGAAAGGTGGGATATTAGCATTATAAAGAAATAAATGTGAAATGAAAAACAGAGTATTTTATCTCCATGCACCCTAGAAACACACTCAATAAAGCTGATGCAGTTTGTTTGTTAGTTTGAACAATTTATACAGCCATCTTCAAATATTGAAAGAACTGTCACGTGGAAGATGGAGCAAGCTTGTTTTCTCCTGCTCCAGAGGGTAGGATCCAAATTAGTGGCTTCAACTTACAAGAAAGGAGAATCCGACTAAACATCAGAAATAACTTTATGACAGTTAAGAGCTGCTCAACAGTGGGACAGACTCCCTCAGGAGGTTGTGGACTCTCCTTCCTTGCAGGTTTTTAGGCAGAGGTTGGATAGCCATCTGTCATGGATGCTCAAGTTGAGATTCCTGCATTGTAGCAGGATTGGATTACAAGTCAATTGGCCTCCTCTTGTTCCTTGATCTTCTTGACATTTGGTGATTTTTTTACTCTGTTGATATGCAATCCCCTTATCTTCTTCTGCGCCGCCGCCTCCTCTTCCTCTTCCTATCTTGTCCTTCATTGGACCAAAAATATACCCACCTAAGCTAAGAAGATAAAATCTCTGCTGGATCAGACCAGAGGCCTAGCTAATCTAGCATCCTGTTTCCTACAGTGGTCAACCTCTGGAAGGCTTCAAGCAGGATATGGGGTCAATAGCCGTCCCTGGAAGACTGTCATGACTCATAGCCATCTAGCCATCAATAGCTTATTCTCCATGAATTTGCCTTATCTTCCCATGCCATCTAAACTTCCCATGCCATTTCACTATTCTGACACACTTTCACATCCCTCTCGAGACAACAAAATTTTGGCACGTGTCTCAAGGTAATGTGCAAAATACAATACAGCCGGGCTGGGGTGGGGGGACAGCTGAAAACAACATAAAAATAACAGCAGATAAAAATTAATAATAATAAAATATTTCTACCCCAGCCACTCTGGGTGGCTTCCAACATATAGAGAAACATAATGAAACATTTAAAAACTTCCCTATACAGGGCTGTCTTCAGATATCTTCTAAAAGTCAGATAGTAGTTTATTTCCTTGAGATCTGATGGGAGGGTACCACTACCGAGAAGGCCCTCTGCCTGGTTCCCTGTTACCTCACTTCTTGCAGTGAGGGAACCGTCAGAAGGCCCTTGGCGCTGGACCTCAGTGTCTGGGCAGAATGATGGGGGTGGAGACGCTCTTTCAGATATACAGGACTGAGGCCATTTGGGGCTTTAAAGGTCAGCACCAACACTTTGACTTATGCTTGGAAACGTACTGGGAGCCAATATACGTCTTTCAGTATGAAGTAGACACTCATGGCAGAGTCCCATCTATTCAGCTGTGAAAGCTTGTTAGGAGAAAAATATCTTCCATTGTTTCTGGAAAGCCAACTGTCCCATTTTTAGTGGGACAACCTGTATCCAAAAGCCAATCCTGACTTCTGTTTCAATCTCAGAATGTCCTGTTTTTCAGTCAAAGAGACACTCACTCTTGCGATTGTCAGCAGAGTCGCGCCAAAGCGCCTTCCTGTCCAGTGATCTGGCGTGACTCTGCTGAATGCCAGAGCGCTGGGCAAGAGCATCAAGAGCGAGGGTGAGTGGCACAAGCAGTCAGTCAGTCAGATACTGGATGGGGAACAGCTAGGAGAAGAAACACTGGAAGAGAGAGGGTTAACAGATTCACAGTCATTGGACAGCATTTATCCACTCTTCTCAAGGTCAAGAAGAGCTCAGAAAGCCTCAGAACAGAAAATGCAGAGGGTACAAACTCAGATTACAAAACATAGGAGTTACGTAGATTAATAGGGATGGAGGGAGTGTAAGCCTTAATTGTGAGCACCACCATTCTGGGTAGACACTTCCTTTTGTCCTTTGCTGTGTTTAATAAAGAAACTGGTAAAAATTCCTTTTTGTTTGATCTGCTCATTTATGGCCACAGGGGAGGAGGCTGATTCCCCAAAGCCTGACACTCGTGCATTAAAACCAGTTGAATTTTTTCCTTAACTTTCCTGCCCCCTGATGTGATATTTGTTGATGACGTCTTCTCAGAAATGCATGTGTGACTTCCCTACCTGCAATCTGTTTCAGGATGCCAACAGCTCAGGGTCCTCAGCCATCCCTGCTATTGTGACTGACGCGCTCGCTAATGGAGACCAACGAACGCCGTTAGAGACCAGAAGGCAGCTAGAAGCCGCCAGCAGCCCTCTGCCATTAGACGCAGTTGCCAAAGAGGAGAAGGATGAGCACAGAGAGGAGAAGGACGGCCAAGGAGCCAAGGAGCAGGAGCAGAAGAACGCCAAGCAGACCCAGGGAGCCGATAGCGAAATGGAGAAGATGCGCTTAGACTTTGAGCTGACCCTTCTGAAGCGCCAGCACGAGGAGAACGACAAGCAGCGGCAACACGAGGAGAAGATGGAGAACATACGCCAGCACTTGCCGTGCAGAACACCTGGCCAAGGGGACGAGGAGCAGCTGGGGAGCAAGTTGGACCCCATCACGGAAATTGAGCTGGAGAAGATGCGCATGGAATTTGAGCTGGCCAAGCTGAAGCAAATCTCTGAGGAGAACGAGCGGCAGCGGCAGCACGAGCGGAAAATGTACGAGGACAAGGAGAAGCAGCGGCAGCACGAGGAAACCATGGAGAAGCTGCGCCTGCGGCAAGGAAATATCCGAGTGCTGGGCCCGAAGGCGACGGGGAGCAAGGCAGAAGCCGCAGCCGAGTCGTTTTCTGAGACCTTTGGTGAGGTGGGGAAGATGAGGATAGAGCTGCAGCTGGCCATGGAAGTCTACTTGCCAGATGTGACTGAAAAGAAGCCCCACTCTGAGCCTAGTGGGCAACAGGAAGGCCCGAAGCCTGAACAGCCGCTGGAGAAGATCCTGGAGGCAGGAAGGCCGCCAGTGCCACCGGAACAGAAGACTGAAGAGGTGACTGAGCACCTGGGTCTGCAGGTGCCCCGCATTGTGGTGAGTGGAGCAGAGTCGGAGTGGTCAAGCAGCAGATTGGACTTAGCCATCGAGACCGAGCTGGAAAAGAGGAGGATGGAGTTTGAGCTGACGAGGCTCAAATACGAGCACGAAGAGAACGAGAGGCAGCGGCAGCATGAGGAGAAGATGGAGCAGCTGCGTCAGCAGCAGGCGCCACCCAAGGAGGTAAAGGGGATACTGGGAGGGAAGAAGGGAGGTTGTGGTCATACCGGGTGGCAAGCCTTTTTCTAGCCCTCTTGTACGCAGAGACCCTTTTGCCTCTTACCTGCTCTTGTGGGGAGGACTGTAAAATCCAAATAATGTCCTTTGACAAATACAGGCTCCTCCAGATGGGTGCTTTATTGCAGGCGGATTCCACAACAAGTTATTGACACAGTGGCAGCTCCCAAGTGATGGGTTTTATCCTGCTCTAGTTTGTTTTCTGATGTTCCCACAGTGCTGCCACTTTATTTCAGTCTGGAGGGACTATAGCATGACAAAAGCCAGACAGAAATAAAGCAGAACGCTTGCGCTATATAAAAAAGTTACGGGACGTGAGCAGGAAGCTGAGGGATCGGCACTAATTTGAAATGAACCAATGCGACCGCTTGGAAATTTTTGTAGACACAAACAGTATTGAAAGCAGGGTCTGTGTGACCATCCCAATAGCATCATGAGCACAAATCATCACGAATGTGCAATAAAAAAAAGACATCTGGATGGGTCTCCGGTTAACACAGCCTTTTCCTCTGGTTTTTACTATAATTTGACCTGTATTTTATGGCATTGCTTTTATATTTTTATAGATGTACGCTGCCCTCAGACCTTATTGGCAAATGGTAGTATATAGTACTGATTTAAAAAATTAACTATAATCCCACACACACCACAGAAATGAGAGAAAATGGGAAGATGAGATAATGAGTGTTGGAGGTAGTTTGATGGTACTGCCTTCCAAGTTTACATTTTTCTGTTCCGGGGTAGTTGGGCAACATTTGGAGGAACCCGGGGTTCCTACCCCTGCTGTAGGGCCTATGTTAAAACATCAAATACACCATCAGATACCTGTGATCTTATCAGCACAGGAGTCATCATTTTATGGGTGACATTCCACTGGGGCTCCTGAATGTTTCTAGGCTTATTGCTATTTCACTGCTGGTCACTGGCCTTGGGCATTGGTGGGTTTAACCCTTGAATGGAAATTTGAAAGGGACTAGGTTTGACTCTCTGTCTTCCGAATCCTGTTCATGCAACTCTTTTTCTTTCTTCCACAGTCTGAATGAGGAACCTGTGCCCTGTCTATTGGCTTCCTTCCTTCCATAGGCTGGGCTATCAGCGAATACACACAGAATGTCTCTCCCTTATAACTTTGAACCTCTGCTCTGCATTGCCTGTAGTATATTATACTTTGATAAAACACGCTAGACTCTCTGCCTTATGTTTTCCACCATGAGATGCGTACAGGGAATGACTATTTTGCACGGGCTCAAAGCATGAGCCGTACATGTGCTTGCCATTTTTGGACCCAGAAGAGGGCGGAATGGGGGCAGGGACAGAACAGAGTGGGGTAGGTAGACTTATGTCTGCTCCAGCGATGTGCACAATGACCTGGAACGCAATCCCCGTGCAAATCGGGGGTTGACAATACTCGCAAAGAGTCAATTCAGCAAATACAGGTCTCATTTTATGGGTAGGCGAGTTGGGAGCTTGTGCCAAAGGCCACACGGAAGAGAGAACCAGACTGAGCTTGGTGACTTGATGTTTGCTGAGTGTATTGCCTGCTGTGAGCTAGAGCAAAATTACTAAGAGCTAACTTTGAGTCAGGGGCGCTGGCTATAGGGGCCAGGAAGGGCTTATGCCCCCTCAATATTTCATGGCAGGGGGCTGACACACACCCCCAATATTGAGAGTGCTGCCATCTCCCACTGCCCCTAGGCATGTGCTGTCATGCCCTCTGTGCCGCCCACCGCGATCGCCATCACAGGCACCCGCACAGGGTGTCGCACGTGTGACATCATACATGCGCGACAGACCCTCCAATGTTGGGCCAAACTCAGCATGCCTGTTTGGGGTCCTTTTCGTGAACATTTCTAGGGAAACCCGAGAACAGCAGGACCCTAGGTTTTGCTGTCCTGAGCAAGCCATGCCACTTGGCAACACTATAAAACTGACCATGGGAGGCAGGGAACAGAGGTGCTGAAAGCATTTCCTTCCAAGGGTGGTATTTCTCCTAGGGCCAGCCCTGAGAAGAGAGATGTGTTAGACCATTAGTCTCAAGTCCTGGTTCATCTCCCAGCTCAAGCTTGAGCTCTGGGTGTTTAACAGAGAGTCTACAGGTGCTTTTGGCATGTACACAGTACCACAACTGTGCTACAGAAGTGATACAGGCTCTGCCGGACTGTATGAATATTATTTGAGCTCGTCTGGGTCAGGAGGTGTCATAATCCAGTGATGGGGAGCCTTTGGCCCTCCAGATGTTGTTTGGCTCCAACTCCCATCAGCCCCAGCCAGCATTACCCTTGTTCAGGGATATTATTATTATTATTATTATTATTATTATTATTATTAATTAATTAATTGTACCTCGCCCATCTGGCTGGGTTCCCCCAGTCACTCTGGGCGGCTTCCAACAAAGATTAAAAATACATTAAAATGTCACACATTAAAAACTTCCCTAAACAGGGCTACCTTCAGATGTCTTCTAAATGTCAGGTAGTTGTTTTTCTCTTTGACATGTGGTGGGAGGCGCCACTACCAAGAAGGCCCTCTGCCTGGTTCCCTGTAGCTTTGCTTCTCGCAGTGAGGGAACCGCCAGAAGGCCCTCGCCGCTGGACCTCAGCGTCCGGGCAGAAAAATGGGGGTGCAGACGCTCCTTCAGGTATACTGGGCCGAGGCCATTTATGATGATGGGATGATGGGAGCTGTGGTCCAACAACATCTGAAGGGTGGTTATTTTAATTTTATTTGTTAGTTGTTTTTCTCACACAGCAACCAAAACAACTTGCATTAAAAACCAATCACGAGCAAAAATAGAAGTCTAAGAATACAGCAATAGAGCTATAAAGTAAGGGCCAGAAGCTTGGGTACAGAGAGAGGTGTTTGCCTAACTAGATAAAGATGGTGCCAGGTGTACCTCCTTGCATTCCACAAATGGGGGGCCACCACAGAAAGGCCTGTTCCTGTGCTGCCACCTTCTGAACCTCCCATCGAGTGAGCCCACAAAGAAGGGCATCATATTATTATCACAGGCGCTGGGTCAGTTCATGTCAGGAGATGTGGTCCTTGAAGTACTGCAATCCTGAGCCACATATGGCTGTATCAGTCAAAACCTGCACTTTGAATTGAGGCTCTCTATCTCTGCCATAATGGAGAATCGGGTTGCTGTTTATTTAACAGTACATGCTTTCATGGAAATGAAATCCCACCATATTCAATAGGGCTTACTCCCATCCCAGGTAAGTATATAGGGGATTGCAGTCACAGCCTGTTCATATCCTACCACTTCTCTTTTGTTAACAATATGTACTTTGGGCTCCAGTTTAGTTAATCACTCTGTTAGATTAATCTGTTCCCAACATAATGATCAAGTAAAAAGGTGCCTGCCTCCATTCCAATTTTTCCCAGTAGATTTCAGGCGAACTCAACCCAAAGGTCATATACACCACTTCCAGATGACGCCCAGCTCCTCCTTGAGCAAGAAAATAAAATGCAGGAGACGTCTCCGAAGTCTGGGTCCCTTGTAAATACTGTATGCAAAAAGTAGCCCGTGTTTTTTTGCAAGCGCATGCATGCAATTTCCAGATGCAGCTGGATGTTGAAGTTTCAGGCTTCAAAAAGCTGCAAGGCAGAGCTTGTGGTTCAACTGTGGATCGACTAATTGCGTTCTTCTGCTGAGATTACGGAGTTCTTTTTGCCTTTTACGCAGTCGGGTCACATAAAGGCTGTTGGAGAGGGGTTTGTCGTTGCATTTAGAAAACTTCATTTATATACTGTATATATAAAAAGGTTTAAGAAAATGGGAGGTGAAACTTGGGTGGAGTTAGTAAGAATTAAATATGTGCATCTGTTTCTATAGGGAAATCGTTCTCTCTCTCTGTGTGTGTGTGTGTGAGAGAGTGAGAGAGAGAGAGAGAGAGAGAGAGAGAGAGAGATTGTGGGGCTAGAAACCATGGAGAGCTGCTGCCAGCCAGTGTTGAAAATACTGGCCTTGATGGACCAATGGTCTTATTCAGTATAAGGCAAATTCCTAAGCTCCTCAGTAAACACTCTTCTCCCTCTCCACAACTGTCTCTAGCAATTCTACAAATGTATTTTTCAAGGCTTTTTAAAAAATGACTTAAAAAGGAGAAGTGGAACCCCACCTGTCTGCGCTCACAGTCCTTTAAAACAGGCCACACAGAGAGACAGACTCTCCCTTCCAGCATTCACCGTTCAATAACATTTTCTCATTCATTCTTTGGCGAGACGTGCGCGGCTTAATTGGGGCAGATAAATAAATAAGTAGTTCGCCGAAGTTCCAGCGAGGGAAGGAAAAGTTGCTCGCTCACAACTCCGAGACAAAGCATCACATTGTTTAACTCGCAGAAGAGGAGGAGAGGAGACCAGATAAATATGAAGTCAGTGGAGACGGTCAGCATGCCTTTGGCTAGATCTCCTGACAAAGGGGCTTGTTGTCCTCCTGGCCGCCTGGTCTGTTGTGAATGAATAAGGCAACAACTCCATTCAAGACACAGACTGTCCGTTACACATACAGCTGGCTGCTTTGTGCCCGCAGATCACAAAGGCAACGAGGGGAGGAGAATTGGATCAGAAATAGGAAGCGGTGGCCATTGTTCCAAAAGATATGTGGGTTGGTGGCCAACTTTTTCAATGAGGAGGAGGAAACACATAACCCAACAGCCAGTTGCGCTCAGCTTTCAGACCACAGGAACACAACCGTACCCAATCTGAGGAACCACCATCAGTTATTCTTTTTTTCAGTGGCACCTTCCTGTGCTATCAAGCATACTCATGTGTGAGTTAAAGATGAAAAGGTAAAGGTACCCCTGCCCATTAGGTCCAGTCGTGACCGACTCTGGGTTTGCGGCGCTTTACTGGCCGAGGGAGCCAGCGTACAGCTTCCGGGTCATGTGGCCAGCATGACTAAGCCGCTTTTGGCGAACCAGAGCAGCACACCGAAACGCCGTTTACCTTCCCACCGGAGTGGTACCTATTTATCTACTTGCACTTTGACGTGCTTTCGAACTGCTAGGTTGGCAGGAGCAGGGACCGAGCAACGGGAGCTCACCCCGTCGCAGGGATTCGAACTGCCGACCTTCTGATTGGCAAGTCCTAGGCTCTGTGGTTTAACCCACAGCGCCACCTGTGTCCCTGAGTTAAAGATAGTGGTGTGGCAAAACTAGGGGAAGGGCTGGGGCTCAGTGGTGATGCATCTGTTTCCCATGGGAAAGATCCCACATTCAATCCCTGACATCTCCACATAGGACTGGGAGAGAACTTTGCCTAGAAGCCTGGAGTGCCTCAACGGGCAGCCTGGGAAGACTATACAGAATTGGATGGACCAATTGTGCTGACCTTTAAAGCCCTAAACGGCCTCAGCCCAGTATACCAGAAGCAGCATCTCCACTCCCTTTGTTCAGCCCTGACACAGAGATGCAGCTCCAAGGGCCTTCTGGCAGTTCTCTCACTGGGAGAAGCGAAGTTACAGGGAACCAGTAAGAGGGCCTTCTCGGTAGTGGCGCCTGCCCTGTGGAACGCCCTCCCACCAGATGTCAAAGAGATAAATAACTATCTGACTTTTAGAAGACACCTGAAGGCAGCCCTGTTTAGGGAAGCTTTTAATATTAATTATTGTATTTTAATATTTTGCTGGAAGCCACCCAGAGTGGCTAGGGAAACCCAGCCAGATGGGCGGGGTATAAATAATAAATTATTAGCAGTAGTAGTAGTATGAGTAAAAGGCAGCTTCCCATGGTTACATGTCTTTAGGATATATGGAGTTATTTATACATACAGTATATATTACCTGAGCATAAGATGGAGGGGCTGACGAAAGATTGCAAGTCTGAGGGCAGGGACCACCTTATCGTGGGCATCTCATAGCTATTCTGGGAGCTTTTCTTTTCTGACAAGCAAGATTAAAATGCTTTAAATAAATATAAAACAACTGAACCCATGCATCATCTTGTGGGCTAAGACAGGGGGAGATGTGCATGTTGTGCTAGAACTATTGTTTTTATTCATATACAATTAAAACTCATGCAGTTAATCGAATAAGATTCCTTTAATCAGGTAACAGATCTATTTTTTTCTGAAATGGTGAAACGTTATAGTTTATGGTGGCAATCCAATAGGACTGCTCATTTTTATCACTGGGATGATAGGTTGGGATGATAGAAAAGAAGGATAAGACGGAACACAAAACCTCCACC